CGATAGTATTAAAAACATGATTTTTTGAACAGTTGAGATTTTGTTGACATATTTGGATGGTTCTGATTGCACCGATACATTTGTGTAGTATAGAATGCATCACCATTTGTATAAATAGGGGCATTTGTTATAGAGAAAATATATCTAAAAAAAATGTCTCTTCCTCAATTTCTGATTAAGGCAGAGGTGTATTACAACAACAACACTCTTGTTGAATTCAAACTTCTAGATGGTTATGAATCCTTTGTCACCTTGAAAGAAACGTTGAATAATTTGTTGCTTAATTTCGATAACAGAAGGATGACAAAGGTAGAGTTTCGGGAGGATTGGAATGATACAAGTGGAAGGGTGAAATACAACCTAATCGAGTTGAAGAATGATGAAGATGTGAAGGTCATGTGGAAATTCTTTCGCCGTAGAATAACTAAAGGTCCGATCGAGTTGGATGCGCAGATCCGAAGATCCGTCGACGACATAATGAAGTGTCTGAAACATCCAGAATCTTCTGAAAGTGTCTATCTAGGTTTTCTTGTTTAGTTGTTTTTGGTTTATGTTTGTTGTACTATTTTATGTTTGTTGTATTGTTTTATGTTTGTTGTACTATTCTATGTTTGTTGTATTGTTCTAGGGTTTCACCAAAAAAATTATGCAATAAATAAGATGTTTGTTTGTCACAAAATATACATATTATACAACCAAAAAATAAAATAGATCTACATAGGCCCTCCACGGGCTACGTCAGCTAACTTAGCTAAACCTTTATAAATTTTGCCATATGGGTTTACCAAACCAATGAGACTGTCATCATAAACTGCAATAAACTGGAGTCGGTTGTCTTGATCTCCTACAGGTGGTGAAAGTGCTGGTGGTGGTGGCTTTGTAGATGGGCTAGCACCAGAAGGCCACGGAACATTAGATGCTACAGCCGGTGGTATGACCCGAGAGTGTGACACTATGTGAAACCACTCCAAGTATCCATCCTCGCATTGTCCTGGTTGCTGAACCTCGACGGCTGTATCCATGGATGTTACTCTGAAACCATCTATTAATCCCACCAGTTGGAGACTCTGGAACTGGACGAGGGATGTCCTGCACATAACCATAATGACGTAGACACCTCTCAGACAAGTGTCTAGCCACATGGCTCACCTATCTAATATGCCTTGAATATAAAGTATATACTTTAAATAGACGATGAGGGCGCTGAGATGTATGGGGTGTCCAGACAACATCACCAAGGTCAGAGCGTCAAGCCTCCTCCGATACTCCATCAAACCTCTTAGAATAGCCTGTTTGGTCTTCCATCTCCTCGCACATGGCTCAGGTGACGTGACACGCTGGATCTTCCGCTCACAGATGTGGGGAAGTGCTCGTATTTCTGGTAATTTTTCAAAAACAATTGAATTACCAGAAATTTCAAAGTTTCTGGTATTAATGTGACGCACTGGAAATTTCAAAATTTTCGGTATAAATGATAAATAAAAATATCGAATATTTCAAAATTCCGATACGAAAATATCGGATATTTTGAAATTTCTGGTACAAAGTACCAAAAAATTAAAAAAATACCATAAATTCTCACTTGTTCGCAATATTTGCGGTAGCGCTTTTGAAATTTCTGGTATCGCCCAAAAATTTAAAAATTTTGGTTGTCTACGAGAGTTTGGAATCTGTAGTGAATGATTTAGGTCTGGGCAATTTAGTCTTCTCATATTCTTTAAGGGGTGCCATGTATAATATGAGGGGTGTCAAGTTAATTTCTCCTTTCAAGAAAACACACATTAATGAAAATTCAACTAAGGTCATAGCCTATTTTCCCCTTCTATTATGCAAAATAGGCTTCTAGAAACTGTCTTTAATTCCTTTAGATTCCATGTTCGGTACTTTTAACCCTTCAAAACCTAGTGTTGAAAATCTTATCAAAATTTACAAATTGCTTCTCCCACCTTAAGTGGGGGAAAATCACTCAATGAAAATTTGAAAATATTTATATGAATCTGTAAATGTATTTTTGAATGCATCTATTTCATGCCAAATACTTGTGTAAATGAACCACACTTCTATTTTTGCTTGAAAATGGTCAGAGGTGGAGATGCACTTTCGTATTAATCATATGTGCACCCCCGTACATTCTTACCTGAAACACACCCATTTTACCTTAAATTAATTCAGAGATGCATCTTCGTAGCATGTTATGGAGATGAACTTTTGTATTCACCTATACGCACGATATGCATTCCTAACTGAGAGACACTCATTTTGCTTAAATTGATCCGAAGATGCATCTCCGTAGCAGGTTACAGAGATGCACTTTTGTATTCATCCTAGACAATAAATTGACTTTTATTTATGAAATACACCGATATAATAGACCATGTATTATAACTATAATATCATAACAAATTTTGTATAAATTAAACCATACACTTAATGCACAAGATAAAAAGGTCATATATGAATGAATCAATCCATATTATAGTCAAAATAACAAAGTAACATATGATAATAATATCAATAATGCCTAGTACAAATACTACATAATACAAATACTATACTACTGCGTATTGTATGCTGCATAATCTGCTCATCATCACCATCAACATCCTCTGACACTGTCAACTGTTGTGCATACAACCTCTGCAGGAATCGAAATCTAGCATGACACTCGGGTGTCTTCTATCTCCTTTAAAGCATCCTCTGGGCCAACTCTCAAATGTCACTATCATATTCAATGCCTCATCTCTGATAATTTTGTTGGGGTCTAATAGTCTTCCCCTGATTGAAAGATGCAACAGGCATGTGATATCGTTCAGTGTGATGGACATCTCACCACGTGGAAGATTAAAAGATGACATCTCAAAGAGTCATCAACAAATACTAACAGCATACCATGTTTAATAGTAGAGTAATCAACTTGCATAAGTCTCACAGCCCAAATAGTTGCATCACATCCTGAAACCATTGCTCCTCAGTTGTAGTGAGTTCACAATCTTTCGACCATGATTGATGCATTTTAAAGCATCACGATCCTACAGAAAAACAAATCATCGTCAGAAACTTCAAATATTATAACACATGTGTTTCAAAAAATAAATACTGATGAATTTTACCTCTCCGTCCCACATATTCCTAACAACATATTTTGGATATAGAGGCAGCAACGATAAGTTGTAGGGGCTCCTCCAAATCCCTCAGGAACGCCATCAACCTGGGGTGCCTCAACCTGCGCTGGCAGGGCTTTTAGGGCATCAAAAGGTGACACCGGTCGATTCTAGCGCATCAAATAAACTAGAATTGACCGGTGCCTGCAAAAGTCGGGCTCTTTTCCTACGAACTGATGCATATGTGACACTCTATTGAGCATTAATTTAGTTTAGTTATCAACCATAATGCCTATTAATTAAATCACAAGTATTATCCATATGAAACAAATGAAAATGAAGTCAAACAATGCAGACAAACCAAATACGGAAAAGTATTTTCGGATTTCTGGAAAATTAAATTTTGATCAAATCTGGAAGTGCATTTCTGTATTAACCTGCAACTAAGAAAATATGAAAATGACAGAAATTCATAGATACCAAATATGCTCAAAACGCATTGCTCGTCTAAACTACCTATCAAACATATTTTTTTAACTAAATAACCTATCTAAACTACCTATTACACTTTCTACAAATGCATGTATATAGAAATCATATGTATATAGAAATAAAAAACTTATCAAACGTGAGTTTGATGTTGAGCATTTTGATTGATTGGATGTTGAAAGTAGAAATTTGGAAGTGAGTTCAGAGAGTTTGAGAGTTTGAGAGAGTAAGAGAGAAATGAGGAAGGAGAAGAGTCTAGCGTATTTTTGATTAAAAATCAGTCAGAATGTGCATTTCTATATGTTATTCAGAGATGCATTTTTCGTATTAATTTTTGAAATAAAATTAGAGTCCAACTCCCTGTATATTATTTTAAGGATTTTTTATTTCACCCCATGCATTTTTAGTGCACCACACGAAATTCTAAAAATATCTCAAAAAATCGAAAATATATTTCCAGTATATACCACCCAAATATAATTTATTCGTTTTGAGATTTGCCCCAATTTTATGATAAAGTTTATTCCGAAAATGCACTTTTAATATAAATGAAAATGCATTTTCGATTTCTAATTAAATAAAATATTACATTATAACTGTATTGTACCCGTGAGAGCTAAAACATTTTATTTTGATTCATTCAAAATAGAAAATTTATAAATGTGCTACCAAAATAATCTATATTTACAACTGTACCTGAAAAGATTTATATTGTCAATCATAATTTGTTTAATTGTTAAAAAATTTAAAATAATATATTTTTTTATTGATTGTTCATTATCATCCAAACATTCAATTATTTTTTTATATTGTCAACCAATTTTAATAGTTAGATTATTTGAAATATTAGATCATTTTTATGTTTTTGATTAAATGGTTAACAACAAGTGCATAGCATATCTCTCTTATGAAAGTATAAAAGTAGCAAAATAGATGGTGAAAGAAACTGAAAAAATATTTTTAATTTATATCGAAAGTACATTTTCGATTTTACGTAAATACGATTTAAAAAGATATGCATCTGAAATATATCAATGAGTATTTTAGAAATTATATTTTCTTTTCAGGGTAGAATAAGAAATTACCACTATTTTTAGTATAATTTGATCCAATACAATTTTAAAATAAAAAACTTCAAAATTACTTTCTTTCCTTCTTTTTATTTTTCACTTTCTTCTTCTTTCTTGAGAAAAATCAAAATTACCTTTTATTTTTAGGAGATTAAACTAATACTTTTTTTAATAGATCTAGTATGCAATATACTTGCGATATTAAATTTTTTATTTTTATTAAAACTGAGAAATCTAAATATATAGTATTTCCAAAATACTATAGAATCATCAAATTCAAAAGACAATTACATCAATAATTACAATTCAATATTCAAAATAATTACATATCATCACAATAGAACCAACAAAACACAATTTTCATGACTATGGTACCATCAAATCCGATAATTGTATCACCAACAATTTTAACTTCAAAGCTAAACTTAGTGATTCCACAAAATTTAAAAGACAAACTAAAATTTTTTGCCGAAGTATTTTTTGTGAAGATCAAAATGGATCTTTACGCAAAAATCAATTGTTTTTTCCTTTCCTTTTTCCATGGCAGAAAGCTTCATGCCAAAGCTCCTTTTGTAGAGTAACTTTCCCGGACATAGCTGATAGAGTGGGCAATTCTACCAAAAAACACCACACTGGTTCTATATGATGAGACATAATATTTTTTACATTTTTTTGAACTTGCTAAGGGTCTTACAATGAGGTATCATTTGTACAGATGGAGAGAATCTGTACAGTTTACATTAAAACCTGTTGGATCAGGCTCCAAAAAATGCGGTTGTTTAGTTGTGCAAATTATCGCCAGAAGATTTGCGGTACTGAGTAAGCTCTTCGTTAACACGGGCAAGAAGTCTTTCAGATTGTGACAACCTGTTGGTAAATCTGAGGTTGCCCAAATTTTGAGCACCCTTATCCTATAATCCATAAAATAAAGTGTTCGTAACTTAGAAGCAAAGTTTCATTGTAAAATGATAGAAGTAGAACCAATTTAAAAATAGAAAATGTAAGTAGACCTTAGTCTTAGAGGATTGTGAAACATGTTGAGAATTTCCTGTCCGACCTAGTGTTTTAACTGTGTCGTCCAACTCTGCAATCTTCCTCATGAGATTGGTCTTGTCCCTCTACAAACAATGGACATATAAAATAAAAACATAAATACTACACAGAAAATATTTATATTCTTATGTGGTAAATTGGATCACAATCCTACTTTCAACATTTCATTTTGTGCAGAAAGCATCTGATCTCGCTCTCGGAGTTGTTGCACTGCTATTTGAGAGTCAAGCATATCTGCCTCTTTAGTTTTCAGGTCTGATATGCAACTGAGTCACAGAGTAAATACAGTTAGATACAAACTTGAATTAATTGTGGAGTGTGCACATTATTTTAAAATTAATAATGGGGAGAGTTAAAGTATGTTCTTTAACTTATAAATTAAGAAAATTGATTAAAAAGCAAAATCAAGCATAGATAACAGATCAGTTACACGTGGTTACAAAGCATACTAACCTCTCTCTTTCTTCAATGAGACCATTGATATATTGTCTAAGGTTTAGATTCTCTTTTTCCTAATGAGAAAGAAATATCAATTAAGATAAACACGTAATACAGTTTACAGCAAACCATAATTTTAGAAGCTTACCTTCGCAGAGAACTCTTCTCTTTGTTGATGAGCTTCCTCCACTAATTTCACGATTTGGTTTTGGTCTATCAAATTCTGGAATATACCAGAAGCAAAAATGCAAGGCAATGAGAAATCTCAACCATCTAAGTTTCACAATATAAAAAAAATAAATCTAAAACTTACTGCATAGTTGGTAATGTCCAATTTTACACCAAGAAGATCCCGAATGACATCATGAGTCATGCTTTCAGTAGCAGCCAGCCTTGTTTGTAGCATGCAAACCTGATCCAATATAAATTTAGTCCATTATATGTTTAATAATTACCGGGATGATTTTTCTCAGCACTATTATAGATAGAATCTATATGAAACGTAGTTCTGTCTTTCCCACACCTTATAGATAGAACCTGATGAGATGTAGATTCTTGAGGCCATCATTTTCATATTTTATTCTTTTCTTTGATATATATGAACTAAAATCATTCTAACCATCAAATAAAAATGACACCGGTGTTTTTTTTTTTAAATGATACAGATGCATACGTTCCCTAGCATATTCAGTTCTACACGTGAGACAGAGACTATAAAAGGTTAAAGACCTCCTTTTGTCGGCTAGCTGCAAGTGCTTCTAGTTCTTCCACACGGAGCCTTGCCACTGATAATTCTTGGTCTTTCTCCTGATTCATCTGCTGAACAAGATTTGAAATGCATCTGAATGGTGAGCTAGAACCTCTAGTCCTTGTTGAGGTTTTCTCAATTTTCTCTGATGTTGGTACGGCAGATGTTGAATATAGCATATTTGTTTTCACTTCACGGAACATTGACTCCAAGCCCTTGTACTAACGAGAAGGATAGGGAAGCAAAAGACATGGAAATCAAACTTGATCTTAGAATATAATGTGAAAACCACTAGAAAACCTGAACGTATATAGAGTGTACCTTCTGTTGGTACTGCAATGTTTGGGCCTCAGCATGCAATACAATTTCAGAGATGTACTCTTTGCATTTCTTAATCTTAAAAAATATATACAAAATGTTATTCCAAAAAAAAAAACAATTTAGTACTACAATATAATTTATTTTTAAAGATATTTCTTTCAAATCAAGAAGAATACCTCCCAATCTTTCTCCGCATTTTCCTTTTCAAGAAGCTTTATCTGAATCAATGCATCGTGATGTTCCAGAACTTTACTGGGTAGTTTCCTGCATCAGGGTTTTTCAATATGATTGACGATGGAGAAATCCATTGCAATAACAGTAAAATAGAAACCAGTAATACATAAAAAATATTTTTGACAAACTTGTAGTGTACAAATTATTTGCACTTTTGAATCTCTGCGTTATTTGACTTATCAAGTTTTCATCAGAGTTAAATTGTTTTAATGTCAACATTTCAATTTGGTCAAGATTAAACTATAATACAAATCAAGGAAAAGGTAGCAGCTTCAACCTAGACATATTCTCTCCAGTTTGAATACTCATGCTTTCTGAATCTGAGTTTTGGTGTAAATTCTCAACTAACAATAATCTCTCTTTAAAAGCTTGGAGTTCCACTTTTAGTGAATCACTAATTGAACGGTGTCTTTCTGCCTCCTCATTCATTTCATTCACCTAAGGACAATGCAATAGTCAGTAAAAAGTAAATACATAAAAGATTAGTTTAATTAACATTCTGAACCATTTCAAAAAACAAGCCTGCATGGTATTAACATTGAAATGGAACATTAACAATATTTCCCAACTTCAACTAACCTTTTTCTCTAAAACATTTATGGTAGATTCAAGTTCCTCAACAGAATGTTCCAAAATCTTGACTTCCTCTTCTTTTTGTTCGGCAAAGAGCTTGCTAGACTCCGACTCCTATGAATGAGATTTCAATTCCATAAAAGATGGTTCCAAAATTAATAATCTGAAACAAGAAATAATCACAATAATTAGCATAAAGATACCTGACGGGCTTCCATGGCAATAGCTTCTTTTTCATCAACCAAGAAATAAGCCATCTCAAGCTTGTCATTCAAGACACGAACTTCTTCATGAAGTTGATCTCTCTCCATCATCACCTGATTTAGTTCATCCTCGATGCTTTGAAACAAGGAAAGTGATTGGTTTTCCAATGAAGTTGACAAGTTAGCAATTTCTTTTTCCAAGCCTTTGATCACCTCTTTATGCTCATCCAATTGCCCTTCAGTTTCAGTTTTGTTGGCATATAATTCTTTTAAGAGATTCCTTAACTCCTCATTTTGATCAGCAAATTTCTCAATTGATTCTTTAGCAAGCTCAAGCTCATAATTTGATCTAGTTAAGACCTTTTCAGTGTCAGCAAGAGAAGCTTCAAGTTTTCTGTTTTGAATCAGTATATCATCAAGCTGACTTGATTTAATCTCTAGCTCATACCGAGCTTGGCTTAGGGAAATTATTAACTGCTCAGTCTGGTCCTTAATTTCCTTACTGTTAGAAGCCGATTCCTGCAACAACCTAAAGTCAAAAAGTAAGCCCTCTAGTAACTCTTGCTTCCTCTCTAAGTCCTTTTTCAGAGTCATATTTTCACTTAATACTTTAACATTGGGTGAGTCCGGTTCTTCTTGCACATTTTGGATTAACATATGTTGATCTTTTCTCCCTATACCCCCATTAAATGTAGTGGGGACAGCTTCTGCAGTTTTTGGCAAGTTATGTGACTCCCCTTGTCTGGTTGATTGCAACTCATGGTTTACACTAAAGCCAATAAATTTATTGACAAGCTCTGTTAAAAAGCAATTGTACGAAGCAAAAGATACAAAACCTCCATCCACAATCTGAGAGCAAATAACTTCTACTGATGATCTTAGGCTGTTCATAAAGCATAGTATCTCCTTCCCCATCAAAAAAACATCAGAATGTATTACCATGAATTTCTTCTCCACATCAGTTTGCATTTGCAAAAAACACTCTTCTAGCGTGGAAATTGAATTTGTCATCTCTATCAAGCTGAAATTGAGGTGTTCCTTCAGTAATTGATTCTCTTCCTCTGTTTGGTGTGTTGAAAGTTTGAGCTTTTGAATCTCTTCTACCAGGCTTGCCCTATTGATCGTCAAGTTTTCACAAGCCTGCTTCCACATGGCAGTTAACTGTTTCGAATCTTCAAATGCCTGTGTCAAAGCATGTAGTGTGAGATCTGCTTCCTTCACAGCTGCATGAGCTTCCATAAATTTGTTTAAGAAGCGCTCATCAGGATTAACATCGCTATAATCAAGCACCTGAATCATAGGGACGGAATTAAATAACATAATACATGATTATATTCCAGACCAGTAGAAACTGTGATGAGTGTGCATACCTCTGTGTCGCTCTCATAGCCAGCTTCATCATTCTGCACCCTCGCCCATGAAAATGGAGCCACCTTTTCCAGATCTGTCATTTATCATTACATGATTTAGAATTTTGCATTACATTTCAGATGACTAAATATAAATACCTGTGGCATTTCAAAAAATATTATTTATGAATGGAAACAAGGTAGTAGTAACAAAACGACACCTTTCGGGTAGTAAGAGGATCCATCGTCCAATTTTTTTAGGAGCGCAGACAAGCTATAATAGAGTCTTTGGAAATCATCATATATGGTATTTAATTCTCTCCTCAGACAGGACCTTTCTGCTTCGTTATAGAGTGGCCTTCTCATGAACTCTGATGTATTTGATGAACTACATGCATGGTCTGCTTGAACTATTATGCCTTTTTCAGAATATAGGAGCATCTTTTCTTCAGTTATTTCTCCAGTTAACTCAAAGTCATTATTACTTGTGAATCCTTGTGACTTGCTTCCAGAAGCAACACTCTCAGTTTCAGTTGAAAAAGCGGAGAGTGAAGAACTATCAGTGCTCAATTCATCAGCATCTATGAAATCTCCATCTGCCAATTGAAACCGGGGCACATCTACATCTTTGCTAATACAGTTCTCTATGATATTCAATCTTTTATTCATTACAACAAGCTGTTCTTTTATCTGATTCAGGGTGTGATGCTGGTCTGCAAACACTTGACAGTTGTTTGTATTAGACGTCAAGGAGTCAACTGTATAACCACCAGAACTTATCCGATGCATCTTTAAATCCCTTATTTCTTCCCTCATATCCTTTGTTTCTTTAACTGTATCTTGAATCAAATCCCTATAAGCAGAAAAAAGACTCAGGACACCAGTCTGGAAACCTGCTGTCTGCATTTCCATATCTACAAAACTGGTTTTTATAGCATTCTCCATCTCCAACACTTCAAGTTTTGTTAACTCAACTTGACCCATAAGATCATTTAGAACCACATTATATCCAATATCAAGATTCTCAGAAGTGCTACAACTTCCTGATCTGCCTTGTATATCTAGATTAGGGATGGAAATGTCTTCAGCATCATTATTCATGTGAGCTGCATTGAAACTATCAGAAAGCCATTTTGCTACAAGGAATGCAGCATCAACTTGTTTAGTTGCTCTACAAAGTTGATCGCTTTTATATTTTATTTCATTTTCCAGAGTACTTATCATATTGGTCTTCTCATTTAGCAAAACTCTTAATTGAATTGCCTCTTCAATACCATTTTCACTGTCTAAATGTTCAAATGCACTTAAGGTTAGAGTTGCTTCCTTTAAGAAACATATTTTCAACTCCATTTCCATTATCATCTTCTGTGCATCCTCCAAGCTACTTTGCAGTTGATGAATTGTTTCCTCCTTCTCAATATACTTTTTGACAGCCATGCCAACATGTTCACTAATCCAGGTATTGACCTTTGGAAATGAAGAAGAGATGTTTTGAACTTGGCCACAAGCATCTTTGAGAGATCTGGAGCCTTCAAGAAGGAAGGTTGTCAGTTCCAAGATTGCCTTTTCCCAGTCCAAACAAAGTGACTTCATTTCCTCTTCCTTTGCTGCAACCACATTTCTCAGCTCTGCATTTTCTTGATCAATGGAGCATAGCCTCCCTTCTAACTCTGATTGAAGACTGGCAACCTCTTCCTGTAACTGAAGAATTGTGCTCGTTGTCTCTGTCTCAACCTCTTGACAGACTCTTTCAATCTGTTGTTTTTGAGATAACTGTAATGCCAATTTCTCTCGATGTTGGTCATTAAGTAACCTCACTTCTTTAAGATCCTTGCTCATTCTTTCCAATTTGGCTTCTAATTCTTCATTGTTTTTATATTTCCATGTAGAGGATGGCATTTCATCTCCAGAGTTACTTCCCACAGATATTGTCTCGACCTGAAAATTTAAACTGATTATGATAAACTTGATTATAAAACAAGGAAGCAACCATAAGAAAAAAGATTAGAAAACAAGGAAGCACGCAAATGTACTTCACTTCCCTAAAATGATGACCATAAGTACATGTTAATCCATTAAATATATTTTGAATACAGATCCATAAATTGATCATGGGTGGATATATCTAATTATATTTGCATACATTTTCAATAAACATTTTTTTATTTTCTTCCCAACTTTTATTTCAAACAAAGAAATCAAAAAATTATGTTAGCTTTCGGTCATACTAACATGATCAAACATGACAGAACAAAGGCTAGCAATGCATTCACAAAGACAGTGGTATTAATACTTACAGAATTAGATTTCACTTGATTGTAGTTCAAATACTTTCCAAGTTCTGTCTGTAATTTACCTGCTTCTCTGTAAAAAAAACAACCCACGGGAAAAAGAAAAGAAATTTGTCACCAGTCTACTACAGTATAGATTTTGGGAGTGCAATAATAGTATCCCTATCACCACAACCCATAGTCCCATGATCTTGATATGGCAAAGGAACATAAAGAAACAAAAGAGGATTTTAAATTGCCAATCAGTTGCATGTTAAGTTGTTTACACACCAATAAAATAAATGCTTCCTTGTACTGCATAGAATTAGTTATGACCGAGTGTAAGTTAAGGCAACTCCATAGACAGTTGTAACTGAATCAGAAAAACTCGGTGTAACTGTTTTCAAAGGAATGAATCGATTTCTGCTAAACTATCTCTCATCAGGATGAATTAAATATGAATTTTTTAAACACCAAAAGCTCAAGATAAATGTAACTAAAATAAGGACCTAGAAATCAAACTTGGAGCTCATTTTTTGTGCAGCTCATTTTTTGTGCATGAACGTTTTATAATGTTATAAATATGCCTGCACAAAATCATTCTAAAATTTAAGCTGACTTAATAGCAGAGACTAAAATGCTTGCAGGATATTTTTATAGGGTCTAAAAGTTGGGGAAAAAAATCACATTGAGTAAAACCAAAATTTTGAAATTATTCAGACTAAAAATATATTTAATCCTATTATTAATAACATGATACATGCCAACTGTCTACCTAAGCAATTTAGAATTCATATTCTGGCAAACTTCTAACTCCTGTGTGGCATCAATGTCCTGAAAAATTCAAAGAGCATATAACAAGTGAAAATAGGAAATCTCAGTAAGCATAACTAATATTACACAAGTAATAAAAAGAAGTTGACCTCATTTCCATTTATCATGGAGAAAGTACATTTTTCTTGGAGGTGAACCAGGAGCTACACAAGAAAAACAAAATAACAAATATCCATAATCACACTCAGCTACATGAGATTTCAGGATAGGGTAGGACAAGTTCTGGAATATAGCCAACCTGATCGCGCAATTCAGAAAGTTCAGTCAGCAATTTTTCCCGCTCTCCATGCTCATAGAAGTTTTGGAATCTGTTATTTAACACTGAAGCAAAATGAGTCATTGGCATCCAAGGAATTTTATTAAATTTTAAGATATTAACGAACAATGCAACTTACATTTGTAGTTGTTGTGAAAGTCTATCATTCTCCAAAGCAAATCTGGATGACTCTGAATTTTTATCAATCTTCGTTTTATGAAACCGAAACTCCTCTTTTAAAGCCCTATTTTCCTCCATGAGATACTTCTCAGCTGACAGTTGACCATCTACCAACAATTCAAGTTGTTTAATTTTCTCCTCGTAGTGGCTCAGCATAATTGAAGTATGTTGAGCATCTTCTTCCTTTTGTTGATCCTACAGAGAATGTGATACAAGTATTATTAGCTCATTCATGATATTGAAAATAGTGTAGCTTACTCACATGACCAACCCATAAATATTTATTTATAAGCCTATGGAGTAACAATTAATGCAAGGCTTATAAAGGTGGAATTCTGAGAGCTATTTTTTAGCCAAAACAATGCATACCAAGCCTTTCATGCGATCAATTTTGATGTTTAAATTCTGGATTGTAGTCTCCGCCATTTTTTCTCTCCTCAAGGCTCCAACCAAAGCAGCTTTCATTCGCTTGATCTGCCAGATATCACAGCTCAAACCATTAGTGAGGCTTATCGTGATGATCATTGTAATTATTGGATATAATCCCTTGACAATCTTATACAATCCATGATTGGATAAAGTTCCCTGTTAATCTCACATGACTCATAATACAAGACCCTTACCATTACTAACATATGACGTACCTCTTTGTTTGGAGTAAGCAGCTTGTCATCTGTCGTCGTTCTTTCTCCCATAGAATCGTGTTCTTCTGATGCTTCACTCAACCTACAGCTATCAGAATTTGGCTCCAAATTTGATAAGAGTGGTGAAAAAACTTTATTCTTTGTCAGAAAGGATAGTTGACCCTGCTCCAGTTCAGTATATATAGTCATTCCTATGATTTAGTATAGTATTGTGGAAAACATCAATAATTTTGAAACTCTTATTCCAATACCTTCAACTGTTGGATTTGCCACTGCAGTGCACTTATGTCACCAGAAGCATCTTCATTCACTTTTGCCTTTGAAGAGTTTGAGGAAAAATCAATTAATTCATAAATTATGTCAACTAAAAAAATTTTAATAGGTAGCATGCATTTATATAGGCAAGTACATTGTTTTGAATGAGCTTGGCTCGCTGAGCAAACTTCAGAGTGCTTAGTGTTTCGTTGGCAGAGCTGAATGGGAAGAATAATCAATATTAGAGATAAAAGAAACAAAGAATGGTTAAGATGTTCAATAATTTCAAGCAATGAATTATACAAACCAAATGGATGGGCTGACATTTGCAATGATCATTGTTTTTGAGTTCCCACCTAGAGAATCCTGCACATACATTTTTCGGAGTAAAGTAATGTTACTACAGAATAATGCACTAAATGGTAAGCAACGTTCATCGCATTTTGTAGAACTGTACCTGGAGAAGAAATGTAAGCCTTGAATCTCTGTAGGGAACGTGCCTAGGCTTCCCATGGGCTAAGTCGACCAATGTCATTATGACCAAGCTAAGCACATGGAAAAACAAAATAATAGTCACTCATTAATAACCATAGATTCTTCTGTTGGTGTTTATTAACATTCAACCGCAACATATTGATTGAAACTAAATTAAAAAACAGGTCCTTGATAGTTAGCTACCCAAGAGTTGACAATGATTTATTTATATTTGCAGCTTCTTTAAGACGTTCACTGTCAGCTCCAGAGCTTTTCTGCCTAGATGAATGTGCAAGTTAACACATGTTTAAAAAAAACAACAATATATAAAGATTATGTTCTTTGTAGTTACCTTTCAGAGCCAGCCAGATCTACCAAATTTAACCTTGCAAACCTAATGTGAGTCATAGAATCTTTCTCCCATTGGCTTTCAATATTACAAGTGAAAACACTGTGAGACCGACTGCTCTCACCGTTCATATGAGTTGCAGCCACCTTTCTATTTGCAGTGCCCTGTGATATTTTTTAGGACAATAACATCATGTCAAACATGATCAAGCTTCAGTGCAATTTGACTTTTTTGATACATTTGACAATTAATGTATCTAGTCTATATATGGACTACATACATTAATTATCAAATGTACCAAAAAAGTCAAATTTGTTTATAAATCGTTACGGAGGAGGTAAAATATAATGGTAAGTTAAAAATGCAAAATATTTGACCACAAAACACCACCTGTACCAAAAGCTTCAGAACGTCATCAACTGTGACCACATTATGTTCAGTCAGGTTGTCAACATATACCCCCTTCTTCATATCTTCTCTGAGCTACAGTTAGAATATTGAATTTTAAACTTTGTTACACAGAGAAATAACAACTATTGCAACCAAAATAGATAGAGGGAATTATGGATTACTTGGAGATTTGTTGACGAAGGTTCTAGAAGATCAGTTATTTGTTCGTTGTATATTTCCAAAAAGGAACATTTGCAAATGTATTTTAATCTACAATCCTTCCTGCTCTCTTCTTCCTACATAGAAGATTAAAATAGCAATAATGATGACTTGGAAGCAGCATTAAATAAAACTGAAAAGAACATTCTATTAGCATGAAAACATTATTCTAGATATCACACCGCTTTAATCCTCATAAATAAATAGTCAAAAACTCTTGGTGTTATCCCACTATCTTCAGCAAGGCGTCCTTGTGCTTCTTTGATCTCACCCATCATGGTATATGTTTTTCCACTACCTGTCTGTAGAAAACCAGCCATAACTTCAGCACCAAACACCACAATACACAACAAATCATAGCAAAATAGCAAGACAAGATAAGAAATCGTCCCTAGTGACATACCTGACCATACGCAAACATACAACTATTGTAACCAGACAAGCAATTCTCCACCATGGGCACTCCTGCAACTCTGAACAGATTTTCCTACACCAGTTTCACAACAAAATAAGCAATTGTTTGAGCTAAACCATTTTTTTTACATGTGAAGCACAGAAACTGACTCCAGACACAACACTCACATGTCAGCACCAGTAATAATTAAAAAAAATGAATTTATTAACGTAATTGCATGTCTATGTGTGTCCAAAACAGAACATCTTCCATCAAAAGTGAGTATGCTACAAAATTAAAAGCAATTGAACTAGTAAAAGAGTTGATTATTTTCGTTTGTCTAAAAATAGCAACTCCAAAAAAGAAAACATATCACATAATTAACATGCAACATTAACCCTAAGTGAAATTTGAGACCTGTGATAAAGTTTCGCATGCAACGTGATCGAATGTTAATCTAGTTTCAGGATGACCTAGCCAAACCAACGTCTGTGCACTCTCCTGCTTCAAGCACCTTCCACTTCCTTGTGAAAACTTCTCCGTAGTACTCAACGGTCGAATCCTTATCAGCACCTGAACACAAGCGAAATTCACATAAACCTAATTTCACACAAATTACCAATGATATGATAGAAGAATCTCCTAAAAAATACCTGCACATTATGATCCGTCCAAAACGACGGATCCTGTTTGAGTTCAAAATGCTGAACTTCCGTCGCAATTTCAGTTCCTTTCAACATTCCTTTTCCTAAACCCACTCTACTATTTCCTCCACCAAGTGAAACTCTCGAACAATTCCTCGCCGGCGTACTTTGCGCCGAGCTAGGTTCGGAATGCAGTTTTCCGATCCGAACCGAAACTCCACTCCCAAACCTATCGGAAGTAGAACGAGAATTCCGAAGAGGTTCGTGTTCTTGACACTGTGAAGGATCGGGAATGGAATTCAAAGGAGTTCGCGGTGGTGGAAAGTTGATTAGGTTCTGAGATTCAAATTCGTTCTCATTTGCTTCCATTTGAGTGGTTCTTCGATTCGTGTTTCGAGTAGAAGTAGTTGTTGACGGTGTTGATGTGGTTGTTTCCTTCGGCATTTTGCTGCGGATTGAGATGTGATTCGGATTCATTGTTAATCCTTCTTCGTGTTGTGGGATTTGAATTTGAAGAGAAGAATAGAAAGTGTATTTGCAGAATGAGATTGACGATTGAGGAGGAGGACCCGCTTCAATTCAAATTCTACTTTCATAAATTGTACTTGGGTCCCTCAACTATTTTTAATATTATTAACGTCACTCCCAAACTGAATTTAAATTTCAAACATGTTACCTTTTTTGGAATATTTTTGACGTGGAAAAATTCCAAATGTTTAAGAGGCAAAGGTGCAACGGTTTTTAATAATTTCAAATTACTATTAATATAATAAATAGAATTTTTTTTATATGCAAGGATTATATAGCAAGAATATTAGGGTTATTCAAATCCACTTATAAAAATCGAGAAAAAAACTCAAATATAAGAAAAATTCTTAATCAAATAAATTCTATACAACATAAAATATAGGATATTTACAAAATTCATAAAAATTACATTTAAATTTAGAAATATATCTAATAAAAGACCACTTTCAGACTTCATTTTAATACTCCAAATAAAGTCCGACACATTACAAACAATTGTTAAAAAAAATATTATTCCTTTAATTTCAAATATTTCATGTCACGGCCAACCAAATAATACATTTATTACTGCACTTTACTCTTTTCTTCTTACATCCCGTGAACCAAAAGAGAAAATTCCTCCTAATTCCAACATCAACATTCAAGCCTGTTCAAATCCATACTAAAGAACACAACACACAACAAGGTCAATAAATAGAAAAATAATTCTAATTCGTTGTTGACTCTCTTAACTTAAACAAAAAAGTGTACTTTTTATCAACAAAAAAAAGTGTAATGTCAATGATGATATTGAAGATAATTACTTAGGAGAATGTTTCATAGAGACTCCATTAAAATTATACTCTCATTTGATATTTCATAAAAAGTTATTTAATAAATAGAAATAATGTATTTGTTGATTAAAATATATTTCTATTTAAGTTATTATTAATAGCGGAGCGGTGATGGTGAGGTGGCGGCCCTTTACGGTTTTCACCATCAACCACCATCAAGTAGATAATATGTCAAATAAATGTACTCTTCTAATAAATATTCACATTTATTCTTTTTAAACATTTTTGGGTGTACTAAAAATAGTGGTGTAAAGGTTATATGAACCTATATTTAGAAATGAATCTAGTCTAATCAAATTCATTCTATCTCGGTTCGATTGGATAAAATTGGTTCAGTCACTATAAATTTTTTAAGTTTAAACTTAATTCGTTTTAAATTTATAAATAATTTGATTCAATTCGTTAGATTTATAATTAAGTTGACTTATAAATTTAACAAATTTAATTTAATTATAAATAGTTTAAATTCAATTCACTTAATTACGAATTTAATTTATTTTTTTATATTCAATTTATTTGGTTCATAATCTAAATTTAACAATTAATTATCAAATCAAATTTCAAATTACATTCATATTGTTTTGGTTTATTATCGGCCTATGTGCATCTTTAATAAAAAAATACAACAAACATAAAAAATAATGGTTCAATAAAAAAAGTATGATTACTATTTTATTTATATTTAATAAAATTATCAAATATGATAATCATTAGAGAAAATAACTTTTTTTTATATCCTATAGCTAACCTAAAATCGATTAGGCCTTAGAAAACTTAAATTTGTTATAAATTAGTAATTTATTATGATAAATCTAAAAATTTATAAATAACTTTTTTTGAATCAAAGAATATATTAATTCAAAAAATCAATTAAATACAAGGTGATCGCGCAGATCCAGCCTTCAACAAAGACAAAAATGAAAGCAAAAACAACATATGACATTAACTTTGTTATGTATTGTCTAAGCTTTTTTGATTTCTAGCCTATATACATTATATTCTCTATAATTCTATCATAAGTATTGTTATGCACATACTTACCAAAAGACACATCATTTTTATAAAGCCAAACACCATACAGAGTTTCTGTAACAGCAAGTTTCATTAGGCTAACTTTCCAACCTTTTTTTTAGCATACTCCATAAGCCATTTACATTCCTCAGACCAAGCTTTAGGGTCATGGGACACATCCAGCCAACTAATAATATTTTTCCAAATGCCTTTGGTCACCCTGCACTCAAAAAAATAAATTACAACCACTATCTTATATCATCCCAAACACCTCTATATATCCTTCGTAGCCATCTTGCCATGACAAACAAGCCAAAAAGTAAGCAAAGCTCTAGGCCTCGCGTTATTATCTTTGAACAAGAATCTCCAAGGCGTACGACTATTATCACTAATCATATCATCATACAAAACCTTCATTGAAAATTTACTTCTACTCAGTAAAGTATCCCAAGTTTGTTTGAATTTGGTGACCTGCTCTCTAAGATTCAGAATATTCTTGATCACCCAAGAGAAATTATTCCCAGGTACAGCTTCCATCACGTTCCTGCCTTTCAGATAATGCATATAAACCCACTTGACCCAAATATTATCTGATTTTTTGCACAGATTCCATAAGCACTTCATCATAGCTACCTGGTTCTAAATAGATAGATTGATGATTTGAGACCTCTCTGTCTTATAGGACTATAGACTGTCTTTCAAGCCAATGGGCTTTTTCTGCTCACTTCATGATCGCCAGTCCAAATAAAAGTTCTACAAACAACACCAATCTTCTTAATAACAAACTTTGGAAATAGGTAGACACTGCATTCAATATTGTGTAATGGCAAAAGATATATTATTCGCAAGTTAATTATTCCAGGATAGCTCAAAAGCCTAGAAGTCCAATGACGAATCCTTCCGACAATCCTGTCAATAAGAGGAAGATAATGATTAATATTAAGCTTCTTACTTGTTAGAGGTACCCCTAAGTATCTAACAGGTAATTTTCCCTCTTTAAAAGAAATTTCCTCTTTAAGCTCTATCTTAGTGTCCCTATCAATGCCTCCAAAATAAATTTTACATTTACTAGGATTCTCAATCAGACCTGTAAAAGCAGAAAAATTCTTAATAGTTTTTAACATCATCTCAACTTACTTAATGTCTCCTCTACATAATAACAACACATCATTAGCAAAGGCGGGGTTAGTGAGGGCCAACTATGCACACTTGGCATGATGATTAAAATTGTGGTTCTTCTGCATCTTGACAAGTAGTATGTTTAAGTACTCCATCATATTAACACAGAGAAAATGGGATATTGGATCCCCTTACATTATCCCTCTGTTAGCCTGCATAGTATCAAAAATCTCACCATTAATATTAAACATATAGGAAATAGATGTTACTACAGTCATAATCCAACTAGTAAACATCTTAGGCATCCCAGTCTCCTGCAGGATCGTCTTCATAACATTTCCAATCAACCATGTCATAACCTTTCTGAAGGACTAATTGCATCATGCACCTAGGGGTGCCTCCCTTCCTAGAATATCCTTTGAGTAATTCATAAGTTTTGTACCCCAAAATTTTCCCTCCCATTTTTCACTCAAGATGCTATCCTAGGGTTTCTTAAATACTCAATTTGGCTCAAAAGTTGATCAAACAGATTCTCTTCCTAGGCAACCAGTCAGCAATTAGGGTTTTGAACTTCTCAAAGGTTTGCCCAATCCATGGCCCAGATAACTGCAAAGGCATTTGTGTGATTTCTATTTGTTTTCTTAACTATAATCTTCTGAGGATTGATGTTACTTTTGAGGGCATATTATGTTTGGATAAGGTGCAAGGTCTAGAGCTATCATTTTAAGCAATCATGATTGAGGGTTCAATTAATCATTTGGGTTTGAGCTTTTAAACATTTATTTTGCTTAAGAGTGCAAGATACATGATTTATTCTATCATATTATGTTTACTTGAAATGTAATTTATCAAGCCAGGATGCTTATTCAAGACATTCAAATCAAGAATTGCAAAATTAAAATAAAACTCAAAAAATTTGTACAACAAATATTCATTATTACTCAAGCTTTGTTCATTACAGTTTTGTGGGTCATTCACAAATGATTACAAGTGATTACAAATAGATTACAAGTAAAATACAAAGTTTAAATCTACAAAGGAAAATTTGCTTCTTCTTCAAGACTCTTTGCTTCTTCCTCAAGAAATTCCCCATTGCTAGCCATTGTCTTGCTTGCCATTTGTTTGTACATGTGACAAAAGAAAAGAGAATATTAGCAAAAATCAATATTGAAAAGTCCAAGCAAATTTGATTTTTCATCATTAGGGTTTGCTTTTAGGAATCAGAATTTTGTTTGTCCATTTTTCCCTATTTTTGCAAATCTCAAAACCTAGGTTTTAGTTCACAAAAAAGGGGAAAAAGAAATAAATATACAAATTGGACAGGCAAGGCAACAAGTTCAAACAACAACAAAAGCAACAGGCTGCAAACATCAGCAGTCAAAATGCACAAGTCAAACAATCCCGAACAGCCAAACTGCATCACAAAAAAGGCAGTGCCTTGAAAGCAATTACAGCAACACAAGATGCAAGGAAACAGGCTGCAAATAGCAGACAACAAGCAAGTTGTCCAAATCAGAAATCAAAGGCAGCAACACAAAGCTACAACAGAACAGAACAAACAATATGCAAGCAACAAGCCAAAAGCATCAAATGCTGTAATGTAAGTCAACATCATCATTTTCCCAAGGAAATAAGCAAATCCTTCAGAAAATGCATCAAAAGCAAAAATGCTTTATCTCACAAAGAGAGGAAAGAGGAAAGATATCACCTAGCCAGCAAATGCCAAGACAAACAGGTTGCTATAAGAAACAGTCCAAGAAGACCTGCTCAAAAAGCCTTCCTATGTTGCCCATAGCAGTCCAAAAATCTGTCCAAGTTCTGCACAAAATCATCTCAACATAAACCATAGTAACTAGTCTGCAATACAGTCCAAAAAATGCCCAGACTTGCACCAAAATGGAAATAGTCCAAGCTGCACTCAAAAGCCAAAAACTAGAAAAGCCAAAACTGTCA